AAGATTTAATGAACTACTATCATTACTTGTATAAAATTTTAAGTTTTTAGATTTAGTAATTTCATCATCTAATATTCTACTTGTATGATATGCTTCTGGATGTGATTTGTGTACTTGTTGCAAATTATCACCACCACTGTTACTGCTGCAATTATTATTAAAATCAATTTTATTTATTTTTTTAACTTTAGAAATTTGAAGAATATTTTTATTAAACTACTGTTGTTGTAAATAATTTTCAAGCTTTCATTTTAGGAATTTTTCCATGTTTATTATAAGCAAAGTTCAAAAGCTCTCTAATAGTTGGTCTTTTTGATGGATTCATATCCAAACACTTCTGCATCATTTGCCAGGTAATATTGGTGGTCGTGGATCTTTACATATATCAAAAATTAAATGACGATTATGAGTTCTATTGTCAAATGGTGGAAGACCTACAAATATTTCCCACATTAATATCCCAACATTGTAAACATCTGTTTCTTTTGTATTATTTTGTGCCTCTAAGTAGCTCAGGTGCAAGGTATGATACAATTCCATATATTTTATTTAATGATTTTTCATCAACTGGTCCATATAACCCCAAATCTGTAATAATATATTACTATTATGTAAATCACAATTGAATTAAATCTTTTTCATGTAATGCAGTACATAACCATCTAAAAATCGCAATTCTATTTTTTAATGTCGATTTAGAATGAATTTTTTGTAAATATTCTCTTAAGTTTCCTTCCGATAAATAATTTAATTTTAAACAAGGGTAAACGACTGAAATAAAGTGAATAAAGAAACTTTATAGCAAAAGAGCTGTCTTTATTTAATTACAGTTATCTGGTACCATTAAGTGTGCTCACAGATTCGTAATTGAAAACCAAAGTAAATTTGTAAACTAATTAATTGAATTATTAATTGACAAGAGTAGCCCAAAAGTTGAGCCATAATTGTTAATTAACCAAAATGATACCTTGCAATACTACCATTTAACAAGAATCAAAAAATTGTAAAAAGTTTATTATAGAAATATTATTACAAGAAACAAATAAGGATAAAATAAAATAGATAAATAAAAAGAAGATAATAAATTTATGGTGGTGATTAAATTAGTCATTCATTGCTTTACTAGAGTTTAATTGATTAATTGATATTGTTAGTAATAATTAACAGATAGTAATTTCCAATTAATTAATAAAGAAATTTTTATTCACCTTTGTTAACATTTTAGAGTAAAGAATTAAAATCAAGATCATTTAACGAACTATCATTACTTGTATAAATTTTAAAGTTTTTGGATTTAGCAATCTCTTCATCTAATATTCTACTTGTATTATATGCTTCTGGATGTGATTTGTGTGCTTGTTGCGAAGCATTACTACCACAATTAGTAATATTATTGCTATTATTATCATTAATAATTTCTTCAAGTTTATTTTTAGCAAAATCACGCAGCTCTCTACTAGTTGGTCTTTTTGATAGATCCACATCCCAACACCTCTGCGTCATTTGTATATAATCATCAGACATTTCAGGTAATATTGGTGGTCGTAAACCTTCACATATATCAAGAATCAAATGATGATTGTGAGCTCTATCATCAAATGCTGGATGGCCTGCAAATATTTCCCACATTAACATCCAACACTATAGATATCAGATTCTTTGGTGTTCTTTTTGCCTCTAAGTAGCTCGGGTGCAACATATGATACAATTCCATATACTTTATTTGATGACTTTTCATCAACTGGTCCACATAATCCCAAATCTGTAATACAACAACAACCTCCTTTCAATAATATATTGCCACTGTGTAAATCACAATGGATTAAATCTTTTTTATGTATATCATCTAATGCAGTACATAAATAATAAAAGATTGTAATTCTGTCTTTTAATGTTAAATTTAAATGATTTTTTTGCAAATAATCTCTTAAATTTCCCTCTTGAATGTAAGGTAAAACTATTGCATAATTTCCATTATCTGGGAATTTAGTTATACCATAACACTGAACAATTGATGGGGATTTAATTTTACAATAATTCACTGCCTGAGAATAAATAAAATCAATTAGTATTATATTATACATTATTGTTTTAAATAACAACCACCAACCTCATCAAAAAAGCCTTTTCCTGGATTACTTGAATCATTTAAACTTTTTAATACTACATATTGTGCTCCTAAATAACTAAATTCCTTTTTATTTTCATCATAATCAACAATACTTCCTCTTGTCCATGTAGCAATATAAATTGAACTAAATCCACCTTCAGTCAATTTTGTCACTTCTTTAAATTGCTCAAAAGGTATCCATTCTAAAATATAGTATGGCAGAGAGATTTCATTTGACATTGTTGAATAAAATCATCAATTATATTATTTCCAGATATCAAAGTGGTGCTCTGTAATTGTAATCTAATGCAACCTTCACAGAATCTATCAGAGTATCTTGTCAATTTACATTTGTTACATTCTTTTGATTTGCCCAATTTATCTCTTGCATTTTGTAATTCAAAATGATAAATAAACTTTTCCTACAAAATTCTTTTTCATTTTCAGAAAGCTCCTTGTTTTTTTTTGACTAACAAAAAAAAATAATCTTTTCTACTTTCTCTATCAGAATTAACCACTGCATTATTATGCATTTTACCATAAATTTTAAATACAAATTCCTTTCTTTCTAGTGATAATGATGATAATCGGTTAACATATGACATTATATAATATAAAAATATAAAATTTGACTTGGTGTTTTAATGAATAGCGGAGATTTTTTCTTGGGAATAACAGTTATTAACATATTTTATTTAACGTATATAGAGAAGAAAAGGTTGCCGTGTTACGGTGCCTTACTAAATGTTAATTTCTGTGTAGGTTTTTATATTTTGCGTAATATTTCTTTTTTTGTTTCCCTAATCTAACGACTTTTACCCAATTTTGAAATGTTTGGTTGCACGGGAAATAATTCGTTGTAAAGAAGATTTGTGTAGATAAATTCAGTTCAGTTACGGTACGAGTCAACGCGAATCTTCTAAACGTCCTGTTTCTCAACTGAATTTTTGTGGAAGGATGAGAGTCGTTTTTTTTCTTTGCTGCGTGGCTTGAAATTTGTTAATTAACAAGATTTTAAGTTAAACATCGCGACGAAACATGCAGAATTTATTTGCAAGTATTTTAATATTAATATTAATATAATAAACCAAAAACAGGACAAAACGACGGATTTTTTTCTTCTCAGGAGCAGTAAACGTCAATTAACTAAATATTAATATTAAATAGCTTGTTTGTTAAACCTTTTTTTTTTAATATATATTACAAAAAAAAAAGAATACAAATGCAGAAAAGATTGTTTTGTTCCCCATAACATGATAAATTAATTTTTTTTTACCGCTTTATCAATTTGCAACCCTTCAGTATTAGCCTTTTCCAATCTTTTATATTCTTCTAACACTGCTTTAGAAACCTTTAATTGAGCAGAGTCAAAACTGAGAATATGCAAGTTTTTTAACGAAGGAGCTCGGCTCATTGTAATGTATATTTGTCCTTCAGCAAATATGTTCTTCATCAACATTCAACAACGCTTTATATATGGCCCAAATGGCCAGCAATTTGATTCAATTTTTTTGGCTTCCACTAATTACACTGTCAGTGGAAGAGATGGACTTAATGAAGCACGTAGATAAAAAAAATGGATGTTATGTTTTTTTTTAACGAAAGAATATTATGAATTTGATTAATTAATATTCCTTCATTTTTATTCATTTTTATTACTCGATTTAGAAGGCATTTCTTAAACTAAAACTTAATTCTATTTTAAAAAATTTATTTTTATAAATTAATTAAAATGTTGAAACATTTAACGATGGCTTTAATTAAACATAAGTTTATCTACTATTATATAAATCAAAGGGACGGAAAGGATGCAATTCATAGTCGGCTTAAGCTTTTTTTATTGGTCCGACATCTTTTCTTTCTTTTATTATAAATAGAACTTTCATCCGTTAAAAAAAATTTTGGCAGCACTTAACTTGACTAAACGTTAACATTAACGTAAATGATGACATTGACATTGATGTTGATGTTGACGTTAACTTTAACTACTCTATATACAGTGCGGATCATCTATATTCAAAAGTCAAAATTTTTGAAATATTATGTGATCCACACATTGGATTTTAAAAAACCCACCACTATTCAATTCAGCTTTAAAAAGGAGTCTATTAATTATTAATAACTATATTTATTACAAATATATAATTACAAATAATTTTTATTAGATATCATATTAATAACTATTGATTTATTACAAAGATATAATTACAAAATATATAATTACAAATAATTTTATTAGATATCATGTTAATAAATATTGATTCATTACAAATATATAATTACAAAATATATAATTACAAATAATTTTATTAGATATCATATTAATAAATATTGATTCATTACAAATATATAATTACAAACAATGATAAATTAATTTTTTTTTACCGCTTTATCAATTTGCAACCCTTCAGTATTAGCCTTTTCCAATCTTTTATATTCTTCTAACACTGCTTTAGAAACCTTTAATTGAGCAGAGTCAAAACTGAGAATATGCAAGTTTTTTAACGAAGGAGCTCGGCTCATTGTAATGTATATTTGTCCTTCAGCAAATATGTTCTTCATCAACATTCAACAACGCTTTATATATGGCCCAAATGGCCAGCAATTTGATTCAATTTTTTTGGCTTCCACTAATTACACTGTCAGTGGAAGAGATGGACTTAATGAAGCACGTAGATAAAAAAAATGGATGTTATGTTTTTTTTTAACGAAAGAATATTATGAATTTGATTAATTAATATTCCTTCATTTTTATTCATTTTTATTACTCGATTTAGAAGGCATTTCTTAAACTAAAACTTAATTCTATTTTAAAAAATTTATTTTTATAAATTAATTAAAATGTTGAAACATTTAACGATGGCTTTAATTAAACATAAGTTTATCTACTATTATATAAATCAAAGGGACGGAAAGGATGCAATTCATAGTCGGCTTAAGCTTTTTTTATTGGTCCGACATCTTTTCTTTCTTTTATTATAAATAGAACTTTCATCCGTTAAAAAAAATTTTGGCAGCACTTAACTTGACTAAACGTTAACATTAACGTAAATGATGACATTGACATTGATGTTGATGTTGACGTTAACTTTAACTACTCTATATACAGTGCGGATCATCTATATTCAAAAGTCAAAATTTTTGAAATATTATGTGATCCACACATTGGATTTTAAAAAACCCACCACTATTCAATTCAGCTTTAAAAAGGAGTCTATTAATTATTAATAACTATATTTATTACAAATATATAATTACAAATAATTTTTATTAGATATCATATTAATAACTATTGATTTATTACAAAGATATAATTACAAAATATATAATTACAAATAATTTTATTAGATATCATGTTAATAAATATTGATTCATTACAAATATATAATTACAAGTAATTTTATTAGATATCATATTAATAACTATTGATTTATTACAAATATATAACTACAAAATATATAATTACAAATAATTTTATTAGATATCATGTTAATAAATATTGATTCATTACAAATAATTTTATTAGATATCACATTAATAAATATTGATTTATTACAAATATATATATAATTATAATATTAATAAATGATTTATTACCAATATATAATTTTACCAATATTTAACTCCATTTTTAGCATTGTAAGCATTCTGCTAATAATTTCTTCATCTATATTTAGATTTTCAATTGATTCTTGATCATTACTACTTTCATCATTTTCATTGTTATTTTCACATTCATTTTCTAATTCATCTACCATTAATATATCTTCACCTTTTTCTAACCTTTTTAGATAAGAATTAACATTATCAAATATACCCTTTTTATAAAACTCTGTACAATGCCCACAACTTTTTTCTAATGTTCAAAGCAGTCATAATGGTAACTATGACCACAGACTAATACATCCCCATTATACTTAGGAAGATTTGGATCAAATTTATTGTTACAATGGTCGCATTCACCTGCTTTTGGAACATGTGCTGTATGATATCCAGAGGGAAGTAATTTTATATCTACTTTTTATTTAGTGTGCAGAGTTTATATTTTGTTAATTTATATTTATTATTGAAGATTGGTTGACTGCTATTTAAATTTTCATAAATTGATGAAAAATATTCTATTAAGAAGCAACTTGTTTTTTTCTTTAAATAGCTTAAGGTTGACATGGTGTAAGGATATCTATCTTTTAGTATTTGAAAAGGCATTTGCAAATGATTCATTTTTATGAGAATCTTTTATGAATGTTTCTTGTATAATGAGAATGGCAAAATTGATCGTTAAGCTTTAAATAATTAAAATTGCATAATCTGGATGTTCTTGCAACTTTTTCAATGCAGTATCAGTAATTGTTCTAAATCTATCAGTATCAATAATACTCTGATAATCAATTATTGTGCAAGGACTTTTATTTTGAGCATTGTTATTATTTAGAATTATTATTAGATTTAAATTTATTTTATAATTTAAATTTTCTTTTTTATAGAATTTTTTTATTAAATGTCTAATTTTAGCATGGTGGACATTCATTTGTTCCACAAAATCATAAAATGTTACATAGAAAAAATTTATTTAATTTTGTTGAAATTCATATAGTTGGCTCGGTCTAAAGACCTCCTAAGTTTTGCATAAATTTTAAAAGTATAGAAGTCACTTTCTGTCCTATCTTTTAAAAAAATAACGTTATTAGTTGATAGAATAGGTCTTTAGTTTTAATGTAATAATGAGATATTCTCAAAAAAATCATTTGTTGTAGAGTTCTATTCTTTTTTAGAACATGTACTTTACTATGTTCATGAGAAATTTGGCCGCTAGGATCATTACTAAATTTAGACCAAACTACAAAAATCATTTCTAAATTTAGACTAATACATGACCATCATATCTAAATTTGGCAGTACGAAATAAATTTTTAAACCCAAAATCACGTGAAGTCCTATTTTCGAAAATTTTTATTGCATTTTTGAACAAATTACAAAATTGCTATTTTTGAAATTTGGCCACATGGCGCAGAAATAGGAGGTCTTTAGACTGAGCCAACCATAAGGTCCACAAAAATATTTCGTTCCTGAATCATCAACTTTTGTAAAATCAAAATCATAAGCTGGATCAAGAAGGTCTTTATCCATATAAGACATAGAATTAGAGCCACCTTTAATTTTCATAATCAAGTGAAGTGTAGATTCATTGTCGATATTATAATCTGCCAAAGTTCCATGATCATTCAACAAATAACGTCCCGAAAAAACCAAATCATAATCCCCCATCAAACCCATCAAAGTAATTTCTTCAGCTTCAAGTTTTTGTTTTAAACTGAGAATGGTATCCTGCGGAAAAACTTTAAAAGATTTTGTACTATTATTTAACAATTTTACAAATATAATCATCTCATTATTAGTTGGTCTGGTTTCTTCCCCATTAGTGGGCTCAGATTCTTTGTGGTTGGTAGGACTTGATTCCCCACGAGTAGTGCTTCCTGCTACCACACCGATCAGGGAAGCTGACACCAAATAGGGAAACGTGGGCAGAAGTGGCAAAGTGGTCAAAGGGGGCAAAGCGTGACAATGGGAACAAGTTGCTCCATTATGAGTATCAGGTCTGATGTGATCCGCGAAATTAGTTGAATGATCCAAACAAATTTGTTGAAATTCTTCGAGACCTAATTTATTATATGTAATAGCATCACCATATCTACAGGTAATATAGTCATTATAAGTAATGACATGTTCATTTGTGATTTTGCTTAAAGCAGCAGCTACTAGTAATTCATTTTCATTCATTCTTGAAGACATAATTCATTTATTTAATTTAATATTAAAAGTGAATACTTTATTTTCTCATGGTGAAATCCTAAAAATAAAAGATTTATGGCGTAACTTATTGTTACATTATTATGATTATTATCATAGTGTGTTAACCAAATCTGTCAATTTGATTATTAATTTCGAACCTCTAAATGGACAAAAGGTTAGTTTTATTTATTAAAAAACAAGATCTATTCTTGTTGGTATTAAATAATTACCTTGCTCTTTGCTCAAATGAATTATAAAATTATTGTGCAAATGACTTTTTAAAGACATATTAGGGCTTTCGTTTGATGCTATCAATGACACGTATGGATTCTCATTTAATATTTAAATAGTGAAATAAAATGTGATGTTACTTTCAAAAATCATTTTAAAAAAATTTTTATTTAATAATAAAAAATTTAGAGAGAGCTATACATGCAGTTTGCCATTTGAGACAATATTTTATATATTATTATTATTATGTTTTTTTCTAATAAAGCTTTTAAAAATACTTTTCCTTCTAAACACTATGATTAGAGATGGGCAGATCAGTACTATACATATAATACTATACGTATAGTGATATGTATAGTGCATATAGTTCTAGAAAAATATAGTAGCAAATGTAAATCAATTCCCATTTAGGTTATTGCCAAATAATATATGTAATACTGTAATATTACACATAAAAATTAATTAATACAACATTTTAATATTAATGTTCTAGTTCAATATCTAGATGTGAAAAACATTTATGTCTTTGTCCAAATGCCACAATTCAAATTAAAAGAAATTATTTTGGAGAACATTTTAATACTTCAAATACTAGTAGTGTGAAAATTTCATCAAAGAAGCTGATGAAAATTTTATTGAAGAATCAAATAAAAATGAAAGCAGTTTTGATTTTTATGATATTTAATTCATTCAATATAATTAATGATTCATAAATAAAACCTAAAAAAGTGTAGGTTGAATAAATTAAAGATTTATGCTTATTGTAATAGCCAAATTATTTTTTTTTCTTATTATTTGAAAATCAATCAAATTTCAACACTACTATACATACTATACGTGCTATACTGGGGTTGGTCACAACGGCTGAACATCAAAAATAATAAACATCAATAATTAAATTTCATATATGCGGATTTTTTAACTGTTATTTTGAAAAATTTGTGACACCACAAAAATTTTCATAATAATAATAATAAGTCATTTCATACCTTTTTATCAAAGTTCAAATTTATTGATCGGGAGTAGTTGTATGCTATTGAGCACATTTCTCAGAGGTAAGATTGAATCATAATAATAATAAATAATAAGTCATTCCACAAAACAAATTTTTTTTATTACAAAAATATTTATTAAATATATAGTTATTTATATTTTTGGTTGCATCCTCACCAAAGTTCAAATTTATTGGATTGGGAGTAATTGTATGCTGTTGAGCATATTTCACAGAGGTAAGATTGAATCATAATAATAATAAATAATAAGTCATTCCACAAAACAAATCTTTTTTATATATTACAAAAATATTTATTAAATATAGTTATTTATTTTTAGTATATATTTTTGGTTGCATCCTCACCAAGGTTCAAATTTATTGGATTGGGAGTAATTGTATGCTGATGAGCACATTTCTCAAAGATAAGATTGAATCATAATAATTATAAATAATAATTCATAATAAGTCATTTCACAAAACAAATCTTTTTTATTACAAAAATATTTATTAAGTATATAATTATTTGTTTATAGTATATATTCTGGTTGCATCCTTGCCAAAGTTCAGATTGAGAGTAATTATATGCAGTGTTGGAAATTCGTCGATCTTATGATCTGCAAAAAAAAATTTGTGCACATATGAACACAAGAAATTTTTATTTA